TTGGGTGAACCCCTCTCGGTTCGGCTGTGGAACGCCGCGTTGCTAATTATTGATACCTTCCCCCGGCGGCACAAGGCTTTCAGTGAGGTGGTGGGTAACATTCCCGCAAGCCGCCGCGCCGCGGGAGCTTGCGCTGGGACGCGCTGCTATAAGTTGGGTTTTCAAACCGTATGCCACTATTTACCGGTTTTCTCAAGTTAAAATCTTTCATACTTTCCTCCACCCGACACCTGGTGGAGGTTCTTATGCTCCTCCATGAGCGAAGACGTTCAGGTGTGTGCTGTGGGTGTGTTAGGACTTTTTATGTTTTTGCACCATCTTGTGGTAAGCCTTCGTGCTTCTTCAGCTGCTGGAATCGTAGAGTCATTGAAGTTGGAAAAGACCTTTAAGGTCATCGAGTCTGACCACAAAAAGATAACTTGGGAGAGAAGCAGAGGTGCTTTATTCCTCCAGTGTTTCTCCAGTTGCTCTCAGGTCTTTAGAGGCAGATAGCCTCATGCATATATTTATTTGCACGTTTTTCCTCTTTTCTGAGATTTAGTAATCGTGTCCTCCGCAAGTCATCGAAACCCCAACTCTGGGGTCTGCAGCCGGTGCAGGACATGGGAAAGCTGGCAGCCGGATGGGATGCAGCTTCCAGCTGCGGAGCTCCGGCTGCAGCTCCTGTCCTTCCACCTCTGGGTTCGTTCCCACCGTCCACCGTTCTCTGGGTGATGAAGGTGATGAAGAGCACAGCAGTTCCCTTTGCTGGGAAGCTGGAGGCCCAAAACTTGGTAGCCCAGTGGATATTCACATAGATTTTTTTTTGTATCTGTGTAGATAAGGGACCTTCCTAAGTAATCAGACTACAACAAGTGCTCATTTATTTTCTGCGACATGTGATGTGTTTTGTGTACAGATTGCCCATTCCAGGCTTGTTAGAGAAGGATAAAAAACTTTGCAAAACTGCTGTAAACACTCCCCTGCGTATCATCTGCAGACGTTGTAGCCCTGACTTGCCTCCACCCTCGCTAGGACTCCTGCCTTTTGCCCATCCGCTTCTGGACACACGACCTGGACGACAGGGTGACCATGAGCCAGCAGTGTGCCCTGGCTGCCAAGAAAGCCAATGGGATCCTGGGGTGCATTAGGAGGAGTGTGGGCAGCAGGGCGAGGGAGGTTCTCCTGCCCCTCTACTCTGCCCTGGTGAGGCCTTCTCTGGAGTCCTGTGTCCAGTTCTGGGCTCCCCACTTCAAGAAAGATGAGGAGCTACTGGAGAGAGCCCAGCGGAGGGCTACGAGGATGAGGAGGGGACTGGAACATGTCTCCTACGAGGAGAGGTTGAGGGAGCTGGGCTTGT